ACCACTCCTGCACAATACGAGCACCGTGGCATGGCACATGGTCTTGTTGGAAGAAGCCATCTCAATTGGGATACGCCATCAACATGATAGGATGAAGTTGATCAGCAACGATACTTAGGTATGTTGTGCTACTCAGACGTTTATAATGATCTGGCCCTCTAGCAACTTCAGTGGGAAATTATAGATAATTTGCCTACAGACATCAGGTGGTCATAATAATCTGGCCACTCAGTGTGTGTGTGTGTGTGTGTGTGTGTGTGTGTGTGTGTGTGTGTATTAGAGGCCCAGTGCATGAAATTCATGCATGGGGAGGGGGGTGGTCCCTCAGCCCAGCCTGCACCCTCTCCAATCTGGGACCCCTCAGGGGATGTCTGACTGTCTCTCGAAATCCCAGACCACTGGCTCCTAACTGCTCACCTGCCTTCCTGCCTTACTGCCCCTAACCCCTCTGCCTGCCTGCCTGCCTGATCGCCCCTAACTGCTCCCCTGCTGACCTGATAGCCTCTAACAGCCTCTGCCTTGCCCTGCACCCAGGACCCAGGATTCCCTCTTCTGGCCGACTGCAGGCACCCAGGACCCAGGCCAGCTTCGCCTGGGCTGGCTGCAGCCACAGGGGACCGTGGGTGGGCGACTTCGCCTGGGCCGCAGCCACAGGCACCCGGGACCACGGTGGTGTGGCTTGTCCCTCTCCCAGGCTGCAGCCCCATACGCTGGTGCCTGGGACTGTGGTGCATGTGGCTTGTCCCTCTCCTGGGCCACAGGCACAGGCGCAGCCACTGACGCCTGGGACCGCAGGGCAGGTGGCTTGTCCATCTCCTGGGCTGCAGGTGCAGGCACAGCTGCTGGCGTCTGGGACCATGGGGCGGGTGGCTTGTCCCTCTCCCAGGCTGCAGCCTGGCTGAACCCCATTCCTCTCTCGCGAGCTCATTTGTGCCTGGCTAGTCGCCATTCCTCTCTCGCAAGCTCATTTGTGCCTGGCTGTTTCCCATTCCTCTCTTGTGAGCTCATTTGGGCCTGGCTAGTCCCCATTCCTCTCTCCCCAGTGTTGAGTGTCTGAGCCATTCCAGCATAATGGCATGAGGGTATGATGACCATTAGCATATTAGCTCTTTATTATATAGGATATATATATATATATATATATATATATATATATATATATATATGGAAGAATATGGGAGATGAAATAATAATAGGTATCATGCAAAAAAAGAAGAAAGAGAGGAAAAGAGGGAGAGAAATAGAGTGAAAGATAGAGAGACAAAGCAAGAAAAAAGAGAGAGGGAATGAGAGAGGAGAAGAAAAATGAAGAGAAGAAAGACAATTGTGAATCTGATGCTAGAATGATATTGGACAGTTCTCAATCAATTTAAGAACTGCCATTTCTACTTCTAGTCAAGATGGCAGCATAGGTAAACGAGGTACTTGAATCCTCACACAACCACATCAAAATTACAACTACAGAACAACCATCATTCAGAACTGCCTGAAATCTAGCTAAATGAAAGTCCTACAATCAGGGATTTAAGGAAGAAGCCATACCAAGACTGGTAGAAGGGGTGGAGATGTGGAACAGGCTGGTCCTACATCCATGTGTGATGCTTTAAGGTTGGGAGACATATCTTGGCTATGGAAGTCCCTCTGGAGGAGCAAGGGGTCCCAGTCCCACACCACACCTTCCAGCCTAGGGACCCAGGGCCATGAAGAGAAGTTCCCCATAACTTCTGGCTGTAAAAACCAGCAGAGATTGTGCCTGAATGAGGTGGAGAGCTGCTGAAGTCCCAGGCAGTTCCTCTGAAAGGGCCCATGCACAGACTTACTTGGACTCACTTCCTCTGAGATCCAGTGGAGCAGCAGCTTGAAAGGAACCAGGAACATACAGGGAGGAACTGAATTGTTCAGCATCAGGGTGAGAGCTGGGGAAGGCAACTTTCTGCTAGAAAAAAGGCTGGCAAAGGCCAATGTTCCTTTTCTGAGCCCTCCCCCCACAGATCCAGCAGGTGTGTGCCATATCTAAGTCTCCATCAACCTGGCTCACACTGTTCACCCCATCATACTGATTCCCTGAGACACCCCCTGCCCCAAAATTGTGGGCCCATTTCTATATGAATAGCCTCTTTTGCCTCATGCTTAGGACTTTCCCAAAGTCTCTCAAACAAGTAGCTCAAACAAGTAGCATCTGGCCTCTGTGTACCTTGTACCTCTTCCCAGGAGGCTCCAGGCCTGGCACTAATGGCAGATTGGCTTCTCCTGGGCACCTCTAGGCCCAGTACAAGTAGAAACCATTTGCAGATCACTCTGTGGCTTGTGCTGGGTGACCCCAGGCAAGGTACCCAGTCCCACACCACACCTTCCAGCCCAGGGATCCAGGGCCAGGAAGAGAAGTTCCCTAGTACTGACCTAGTACCTCTCAGGAGGCCCCAGAGCCAGTGGACAGCTTCAGACCATGCTAGATTAGAACCCTACCACCTCCATGGCTATACACTAAAGGGGAAGACTTGGTGAGCACCAAAGCTCCACCAAAGCAAGTTCTATGCCATACAGTTGAATCCTGCACAGCAACTCCTCTGCTGTAGTCACAGTTGGTCCTCACAGCCAATAAGCCTGGGCGTCAATCCCTCACAGTGACACCAACAGCAATCAAGGCTCAACTACACCAGGACAGTGTGCACAGCCCACACAGGGGCACACCTAGCGCACCCAGCTCGGGTGACTGAGGAGGCTGCACCACTGGGTCCTACAGGACACCTTCTACACAAGGCCACTCTACCAAGTCAGGAGATACAGAAGTCTTACTACATAGAAACAAACATAAGGAAGAAGCCAAAATGCAGAGATAAAGAAACAGGTCCCAAATGAAAAAACAAGAGAAATCTCCAGGAAAAAATTAAATGAAATGGAGGCAAGCAAATTACCAGATACAGAGTTCAAAAAAATGGTTATAAGGATGTTCAAGGAACTTACTGAGAACTTCAACAGCATAAAAAATGAACACAGAAACCATAAAAAAGAACCAGTCATAAATGAACAATACACTAAGTGAAATGAAGAATAATATAGGAACATCAAAAGTAGAGTAGATGAAGCCAAAAGCAAATTGGAAATTTGGAATATAAAGAATCAAAAAGCATCCAGTCAGAACAGCAAAAAGAAAAAAGAACCCCCAAAATGAAGATAGTGTAAGGAGCCTCTGGGATGACAAGCATATTATGGGGGTACCAGAAGGAGAAGAGAGAGAGTAAGAAATTGAAAATCTATTTGAAAAAATAGTGACAGAAAACTTCCCTAACCTGCTAAAGACATACAAGTCCAGGAAGCATAGAGAGTCCCAAACAAGATGAACTCACAGAGGCCTACACAAAGACACATTACAATTAAAAGTCAAAAGATTAAAGACAACGAGAAAACCTTAAAAGCAGCAAGAGAAAAGCAAGGGAAGTCCCATAATACTGTTAGCTGGTTTCTAAACAGAAGCTTTGCAGGCCAGGAGGAAGTGGCATGAAATATTCAAAGTGATGAATAGCAAGGACCTACAACCAACATTACTCTACCCAGCAAAGCTATTATTTAGAATTGAAGGTCAGATAAAGAGCTTCCCAGACAAGAAAAAGCTAAAGGAGTTCATCACCACCATGAAATGTTAAAGGGTCTTCTTTAAGAAGAACAAGAAAGAAAGAAAAAGATAAAATATATGAATAATAAAATGCCAATAAATACATATATATTAACAATGTAATCTAAAAAACAAAATAAATAAGCAAGCAGAACAGAAACAGACTCGTAGATATAGAGAACATTGTGACAGTTGCCAGATGGAAGGGGGTTAAAGGGATGGTTGAAAAAGGTGAGGGGATGGAAAAGTACAAATTCATTGTTATAGAATAGTCATGGGGATGTAAAGAACAGCATGGGGAATATAGTCAATAATATTCTAATAACTATTTATGGTTTCAGATGGGTATGAGATTTATCAGGATGACCGTTCAGTAAGTTATATAATGTCTAATCACCAGAGTATACACCTGAAACTAATATATCATATGTCAATGGTAATTGAAAAAATAAATTGTTGAAAAAGAATTGCCATTTCTAATTGTTAATACATGGAAGATATGAATTGAAAGGAATGAGAAATTATAATGAATATGTAAATATATTTAATACAAAATTCATTTTTAAAAGAGTCCTCAAGAAAGCATGTGGAGCCATCTTGATAAAAAAGTGATGGGAATATTCCATTTCTAATATTATTATATTTCAATTTCACAATGCTCTTCCAAATGCAAATAGTTCATACTTTGTCTTTTGTCCCTGTGGGAAATTTTCCATAGCAGCAATGACTAAAGTGCTGTCCTAAATGGGGACATTTGTTCAGGCCTCGCATTTGTATTTCCTCCACTCTGCTCCAGGAAACTGCTACACTTGGAGTGTATCTCCAGACAGAATTTTAGGAATGGTCATCTCTAATGTTAGAAGCAGGATTAGGGTGACTGCTGGCTGCGCTATTTCCTGACTCTGCTTCTGTCATAGGTGGCAGGACAAGAGGAGTTGTGTCACAGACGAAAAAGTAAGGTCGGAGAACACCATTGAACAGTTGGCTGAATGTGTAGATGTAAGACCCATTTGTGATGTCATAAAAGGAGATTTCACCTGCTTCATAGTCCAAGAAAATCCCAATGCGACGAGGCCGTTCTAGGTGGAGGAGAGGCACCGACGGGGAGGCAAGGACCATGTACTCATTCTCTTTCAGCAGCCACATGGCCCACACTCCGTTCTCGGGAGATGGTGTAGTTTCCCCCTTTCTTGACACTGAGTCTTGAGAGACTCCTAAACCCCACTCTGCTCTTTCTCCCACCATGACTTCCCAGTAATGCCTTCCTGATGAGAAGTTCTGCAGACCCAGGATGCAGGGCCACGTGTCAAATCGCTCGGGGTTGTTGGGGACATCCCTCCACAGTTCTCCGTCCTGCACACTGCGCAGGTCAGCAGTCAAGAGGAGGCTAGGATGCGCTGTGGCCGGGTCCAGCTTTACATCAACTGTGGAAGAAATTTTGTGGGAGATGGAAAAGGCTGGTGAACACATAGGAATCCATTATACTGAAGAGAATAATCACACCATTCCTCATTCTCTAACAACTGCTAGAGAAAGCACAGCAAGTATTTCATCTTGCAGGTCACTGAGAATATTCTTCATTACATCTGAGTGTGTTCCACTGCTGCTCTGAATCCAGGGCTCATTATTGCCCCATTGAAAACATAACCACTGATGCTATAACAAAACAAGTGCATAACCACTTGGCATCCTTTTCTCTACACCCAAAGCACTTGGGTGCTCTTCGGAATATCTTTGTGAATTTAAAATAAAATTTAAAAACTACTTGGAATATATAAAATTTCTTCTAAGAAACTATAAGAAAGTTTCATTAATATAAAAATCATCACTTTCAAAGCTATGTTAGGTGGAATTCTGAGGTAGAACCCATACCTTCATACTCTGGTGATACTCAAGAGGGAGATTATCTGGGTGGGTCTAATATAGTCACATCAACTTCTTTTAAAAAAATCAGAGAGCCGAAACTGGTTTGGCTCAGTGGATAGAGCGTCGGCCTGTGGACTGAAAGGTCCCAGGTTTGATTCCGGTCAAGGGCATGTACCTTGGTTGCAGGCACATCCCCAGTAGGAGGTGTGCAGGAGGCAGCTGATCGATGTTTCTAACTCTCTATCTCTCTCCCTTCCTCTCTGTAAAAAATCAATAAAATATATTTTTAAAAAAATCAGAGAGGCTGCTTTGGATATTGGGCTCCTGCCAGAAAAAGGCAGAGATATTTGCATCTGATCTGGCTTTGCTGGCTTTGCAGATGGAGGGGGCACCCCATGAGGAGAAAGGCAGTTGACCTCCAACTGGCAGTCAGCAAGGAGACGGGGATCTCAGCCCTACAGCTGCCCGGAAATGCACTATGCCAAGACCCTAAGGAAGGCTGGAAGATATTCTTCCCAGGTCTTTCACAGAAGCCTCGCCTGGCCAACAACTTGATTTTGATCTTGTGAAACCCTAAGCAGAGAAGCCAGCTCACCCCATCTGGAAGTCTTATCTACAGAACCTTGAGCTAATAAATGCATGTGGCTTTAAGTAACTAAGTCTGGGGCAGCAATAGGACACAAATACTGGCACTGGGAAGTCCCAATGAGATTGATGCGAAATTTTACTTATACACATAATAAGTAAATCTACATATGAAATCTCGGTGAAGAAGTAAGCATGTAAAATATTCAGTGTTTTCTCTTTATAAATAATTAAAAGAGTGAATTTCATTAATATAGTTTTATTTTTAATATCACAATTAACAAATATTACTACTATGATTGCTATTCTTTGTCTCTAAGTCACTAATAGTGATTTTTTTAAATACTCATACCTGAGTGTGTCACACAGGTAGCATACCATCTAGCTGACCCATGAAACCACCTCCAGGTGGCCATTATCATCTCCACATTACGATGACAAGACTCAAAGACTTCATGTGATTATTTTCTCAAACTCTAGAAACAGTAAATAGCAGGGCTTGAAAGTAGGTCTCCATGGATTGTTAAGCCTATTTAACATGTTATGTCTTACACATCATTCCTGCTCCAGCAGCCTTCTCTGTTCCATTGATAAGGAAAGAAATCTGTGCAGTGGTTTTTAATACAGTAAGGTTTTCTCTTTTTACCCCTTCCCTCTTAAACTCAACCACTCACGATGATAGAACTATACCCTAACTCAGTGGTTCTCAACCTTCCTAAGGCCGAGACCCTTTAATACAGTTCCTCATGTTGTGGTGACCCCCAATTTCATTCTTATAAATTGAACATAATTAAAGCATAGTGATTAATCACAAAAACAATATGTAATTATATATGTGTTTTCTGATGGTCTTAGGTGACCCCTGTGAAAGGGTCATTCAACCCCCAAAGGGGTCGCGACCCATAGGTTGAGAACTGCTGCCTTAACTGCCCATGTCCATCTTCCCAGTGGCCTCCAAAACGGTGAATATATGGAGATCTTAAATGCCCTTTCTATAGCACTCAACACTGTTGAGAAAACATTTGTACTAGAAAACCTGCATTCTCTTTACCAAAAGGCAGTCATCATGCTTTTCCTCCCTCTCCACTCCCAACCCCTTCACGGTAACCACCATTGGAAACGCCAATGATCCAGGACTGGGACTTCTCTCTTTCTCATCTCACTTCCATGTGGTTTTGGCCTGGCTGGCTCAGTCCTTTAATTAAATTTCAATCATATGCTTGCTGATTCCAAATGCATAGCTCCAGCCTAGACCCTTCTCCTGACACTCCATATTTGTAAATTCATCCGATGGCCTGACATCCATATTTGGATACTTAACATTCTTCACACATTGATATGTCCAAAACCCAACTCCCCCCTGTCTTATCTGCAATTGTACCATCAATGGAAATGGCAAGTTCACTGTCAATGAAGAATTCAATCTGGAAACCACTCATAAGTCTTCTTTTTCTCTGACATCTCATGTCTAATTGAGCAGCATATCTTCCCAGCTCTATCTTCAAAATATGCCAAAATCATGTCCATTTCTCAGCACCCCCAGTACCAGTCCATAATCAACTCTGATTGAAGTACAGTGGGGCCTTGACTTACAAGTGTCCCGACTAACGAGTTTTTCAAGATACGAGCCGTCTCTCGGCCGATTTTTTGTTTTGAGTTGCGAGCTAAAATTTGGGTTATGAGCCAGCTTCAGATACCCCACCGCTAGTTGGCGCAGCGAACATCACAGTGAACCCACAACATCAGCCCAGCATCACGTGTCTCACTCGTTCACTTTAATGATTTGACATACGAGTAATTTGAGTTACGCGCTCCGTCACAAAACTAATTAAACTCATAAGTCAAGGCCCCACTGTATTGCAAGGATTCTAACTGCTTTTCCCACTTCAAGACTTTCCCCTCTCTGATTCTCAGTAAAGCATGCTATTCCTCCGCTTACAATTGTTCACTGATTCCCTAGTTCACTTAGAGGTAAAGCATCTGGATCAGTGGTCTAATTACTGCACTTCTGACTCTGCCACTGCGGTACAGGCCTCCTCACAGGTCCTAAAAGACATCATCTATCACACTTCCTTCTCTGGAAGGCTCGCCTCTAGATCAGATGTTAGCTGAGTTATTCCCTACTGCGTCAGGCCTTCCTCCATCACAAAATTCAAAAGTAGATGCCCTACCCCCAGGACTTCTGGTCACCCTTACTTTTCTCCTTGTTTTCAATATTCTGTATCATCTTCTAACGTTTCCTGTATATTGAAAAATTTAAGTAAATATTAGCAACATGAAGCTGGGATTTGTAGCATTTTTGTTGTTGTTCACTGACATATCTCAATGCTTAGGAAAGTAGCTGGCATATTTGTTGAACTAATTAATTGATTACTTCAGTCTGTAAATAGCATTGGGAATATGAGGACATGAATTCTGAGAGTGTAATGATTGTAAGAATTTATGCAGTTGATATATATAAATCTCCCTATCAAAACACAGGTTAAATCATTGAATGTCACTGCTAAAGAGGGGGTTGGGGTTTTGGGGGGTTTTGGAGCATAACATAGCTTTATTTTTTATAATAAAAATTTCAAATAATATTAAAAATATAAAGAATAAAGTAAAAATCACAATAAATCCCATCTCTCATAGATAAGCATTGTTATACTTCTGTGTATATGTATTTTGCATAAATGGAATTAATTTTATATGATTTTATATTTTTATAGCTTTCTTCCTTCATTCAATAATATGTTCTATTTTCTATGATCCAGGAATATCTATGTCTTTTTTCCCCTCTTTATTGAATACATTGGGTGACACTGGTTAACAAAATTATACAGGCTTCAAGTGCACAATTCTACAACACATCATCTGTACACTATATTGTGTGTTCACCACCCCAAGTCAAATCTCAGTCCATCACTATTTATCTTCCCTATACCCTCCTCTAGCTCTCCCTACCCCACCTCCTCCCCAGCAATCACTATGGGACAAGGCTGTTTCCAATTAAGTAGTGAAACCACTATCTAGTCATAATGTATTTTCATTATTGGTATAAGTTGTATTTAAAAAGAATTTTAAAAATTAAATCTGGCCTGGCCAGTTTTCTCAGTGGTTAGGGTGTCAGCCCTCAGACCAATGTGTCTCGGGTTCAAGGGCACATACCTCAGTTACAGGGTTGCAGGTTCAATCCCCAACCCCAGTCAGGGTGCAAGCAGGAGGCAACCAATCGATGTGTCTCTTTCACATTGATGTGTTTTTTTTCTCTCTCTCTCCCTCCCCCTCTCTTCCACTCTCTAAAAATCAATGAAAAAAATATCCTCACTTGGGTGAGGATTTTTAAAAAAATAAAAATTGAATCTGTATTGTTGTAGAGAATAACATAATCAGGCCAAACCAACTAATTTATGACACTACGGTTATTCCTACCTAAAAATAATTGACTAAATATTTTTTACTTTATTAATTCTCTAACTTAAGCAACTCATCAAATTGACGGATAATAAAATAAGCCAAACTTATTATTTGATCCTCTGCAATGCTTTTATATTGATTTTTTTTGTCTTTAAATATGTTTCATTTAGTCCTTCAAATTTTACTGTTTTAGTATTTTATAAACAAGAAAATGCAGATTTATTGGAACAAATGTTACTGCTATCACAGCTACTGAGCCACTGTTTTAACCAAATGCAGTGTATATTGGCATCAAGACCGTTCACCCACATTCCCGTCTTCTTCCCTCTGGGCACAGTGCTGTCTCCCATCCCCTTACAGTCTGGCATTGCCATGGGACACATTTTCATGAATAACATCGTCGGGGAAGCCACATGCACCACCTCAGCATGTGTACCTTCAGGAGCAGTGCCTGGTTCACCATAACCTCGCCCTCTCCATGGCTACCAGCAATACAAAGGAGGTGGGCTCTGTCTGCAAGGGCCCCAGAATGAGATGATGTGAAACCAAACCCTCCACAATCGTATATAATAAAAGCCTAATATGCAAATAGACTGAATGGTGGAATGACCGGTCGCTATGACATGCACTGACCACCAGGGAGCAAACACTCAATGCAGGAGCTGCCCCCAGCCCACAGGCCCCAGGCCAGCCAAAGCAGGTGCCAGTGGGGGTCCCCTGATTGCTCCGCAGAGGGAGGCAACCAGCAGTGGCACGGGACGGGGCCAGCAAGCAGGCAGTGCCAGGCCAGCCAAGGCGGTGCCAGCAGGGGCCCCCGATCACCCTGCCAGTCACCCACAGGGCAGCCCTGATCACCAGCCAAGCCTAGGGACCCTACCTGTGCACAAATTTCACACACTGGGCCTCTAGTCCAGTAATAAACCAATAGCATGACCTCAAAATAAAACTGTGCTGACTTTAGTCACGAAACTTTGGGTTTTGCTTGTTACTGTACCTGACTGCTCCAGTAAGCAGCCAGACTCCAAACACCCTGTCCTCCAAACTCTAAGGTGCAACCCACCTTGGAACTTCCTCAACATTTCTCTCATCCCAGGGATTCGACACATGGTCTTCAGCTCCAGGGGGATGGCCTCCGGTTCCAGCTGTGTGACACTCTTACTTCTGAGAAGAGCACAGAACCCACAGTTTTTAACATCCACCAACCTCCTTGGCCTCTCCCAACCATGCTCTGCTTCAGAAAGTAAACATACCGGCTCAAGGTTCCTCTCGCCCCCTGGAAATAAAAGAGAAATACAAGCAGGTGTGAGTTTGATATCAGAACTGCTTTTGACAAAATGGGGACAAACCATGAACATCTCTTTAGGAACTATTGGAAATCACTAACTATTATAAAGATAAAGTATAGAAGACATGGATCTCTCTTAATAAAAAACATATATAGGCTATTGTTGAATTTTCTCATGAATTTCAAATAATATAATCAGTTTCCCTCTATAAGAATAGAAGATACAAAAGTTTAAGTTAATTCCTATGATATCTACCAATTTAACTATTTTTCAAATTGATAATTCTGACATTTGCATATTTTAATAAAGAGCTACATTCTGCCACAAATGTATGTGGGGAAAAGAGGGGAAGGGGAACATCTGCAATAAAATCAACATTAAAATTGTTAATAAAAAATATCTTAAATATCTACAGAATGTGTTTGAGAAAGTGAAAGGTATAGACAAAACGTTACTCTCAATGTCTCTGAAAGAAAACCCCAATTCCCCATGTCTCTGGACTCTTATGTGAACAGGTTCCCTAAGTGGATAAAGACAGAAGTCACCTAGCATCATTTTATTGCCAAGTAGATTATTAAGTAAATCAACTGCATACATTTCTCCTCTCCCTCTAAAAACATTCACCTATCAGATTAATTTTTATAAGTAGGAAATGATAGAGTTTATATTTATGGCAGACCTTGTTCTTGGCCATTGGATATAAAATGTAGTTTACTGATACTGGGGGGAAAGGGAAAGGTGAGGATGAAAATAAAAAGAAATTATTTGAATACATCCTCCTAAGATTTGCATTATAAATCATTTTAACATTTATTTGGTGCTAATGAATGCTCATTTTATTTTTATTTTTTTAAAATATATTTTATTGATTTTTTACAGAGAGGAAGGGAGAGGGATAAAGAGTTAGAAACATCGATGAGAAAGAAACATCGATCAGCTGCCTCCTGCACACGCCCTACTGGGGATGTGCCTGCAACCAAGGTACATGCCCTTGACCGGAATCGAACCTGGGACTCTTCAGTCCACAGGCCGACGCTCTATCCACTGAGCCAAACTGTTCAGGGCATGAATGCTCATTTTAAATAAGTTGTATTTTGAGATATGATAAGACAATGAATGTTATTAGAAATGCTACAGTTCTGCCCTGGCTGGTGTGGCTCAGTTGGTTGAGTGTTGTCCTGTGCACCGAAAGGCGGCAGGTTCAATTCCCAGCCAGGGCACCTATGCGGGATTGATCCCTGCTTGGGCTGTAGGGGAAGCAACTCTCTCACATCGATGTTTCTCTCTCTCTCTCACTCTCTCTCTCTCTCTCTCTCTCACACACACACACACATCAATAAAAAAATATCCTCAGGTGAGGATTTTAAAAAAATGCTGAAGTTCTTGTGTTTACCTATCGTTTAAAATTTAAATTAAAAAATCCTTTCTGACCTTCAGTGTGCTCACAAGGAAATAGGTATAGCAACAATAACAATAAACAATAATAATTTTTATATATAGATATTTTGAATACAAAATGGGTAAAATTAAATATAAATGCTTTGTAAATTCTTCATTTAATGGCCTCCACTGTGCTAAGTCACCATCCTTGTATGAGGATATGACTCACTTAGTTTAGAAATCTCTAAGTAAGTCAGTGGGACGGAGATAGAATTCAGTCTGCCTGGGAACTTTCTATTACAGTGGTTCAGTCAGATGACATGCATGCATCAAGGACGGCATTTCTGATTAACCAGGATTAATGCCTTCGTGGAAGATAAAATGAACATTTCCTTCTCCCTGTTATTTGTCTATTCTATAATACCACACAGAATATGAGCAAACTGCACCAAGCTCTGTACTTGCACTGCGCCTGGAATAGGCATGCGATGTGGCTGTTTGCCTTAAGTTTTAATGTGAAAATCCCAATCTGGACAACTTAAAATTTATCTATATGCTTGGCTATTGCCCGAGACAGGTTACCAAAGACTTTCTGAATTGGCCATCACTGAATACAGCAATATTGCCATTGACAGATTGTAAGGTTTTAATAAGTGTTTTAGCCAACATAGTGTAGGCTGTCCTTCTGTTTAATGTTACACAAATGATAAAGTTAATTTAAAAAAAATTAGGTTTTTCTCTTCAATGTGAACTACTTTATAAGATTCTGGAGGATCCCCTGATTCTCCTGCGCTTCTGGTGAGCGCGAGGGTGTCCTCTCCGCGGGGTTGTGAGCACTGCAGCCCCTGAGACCTCACCTCCAGCAGATCCAAGGCGGGGAGCCGGCAGCGGTCCTCCAGCTCCTGCGCCAGCTCCCGCAGGGCCCGGCCGCGCTGCGCCAGCTGCCGCTGGCCTTCGCGCAGTCTCTGCAGCGTGGCGCGCTCCTCCTGCTCCAGCCGCCGCAGCTGCAGCTGCTCCTCCAGGGCCAGGAAGCCGCGGTACTTCTCGAACTCCAGCCTGAAGCGTTGTCTCTGCGTTTCCACTTTCTCCTGCAGGAAGAGGTGACTTCCATCAACAGGGCGGGCCCAGCGCCTGCTGCTGCCTTCCTGAGGCAGTGAGGCTAGAAAGGCCTCCCCCACTCTGGGCACGCACTGGCTAATTTTAAAACACGCTGACACCTGGCTTGACAGAGCTTTCAAGCTGAGAGTTTAAGAAAGGCATGGATTTGGTCTTGGGGACAATGCACTTTAATATTCCAGTTTCAGCAATGCATACAAAATGTGGGGAAAGGAGTAAGGGTATTAGAATTAAATGGCTATTAAATTATTGAGGAAACTCACTAACATACCAGTTGAAATGTACTATTAGGGATCACTAGAAGGAGCCATGCGCAGAAACAGCAGGATCATTAAAAGAGATCAGAGACCTGGGTTTATAGATGTGAACGAGGAAAGGCTCTACTCAAAATAGCCTGGTACTGGCACAAGAACAGGCATATAGATCAATGGAACAGAACAGAGATCCCAGAAATCGACCCAAGCCATTAAGCTCAATTAATATTTGACAAAGAAGGCAAGAACATACAATGGAGTCAAGACAGTCTTTTCAATAAATGGCGTTGGGAAAATTAGACAGGTACATGCAAAGAAATGAAACTTGACAACCATCTTACATCATACACAAAAATAAACTCAAAATGAATAAAAGATTTAAATGTAAGTCATGAAACCATAAAAATCCAAAAAAGAAACCATAGGCAGCAAAATCTCAAACATCTCTCATAGCACTGTTTAAGAATACATCTGCTAGGGCAAAGGAACTGAGGAGAAAACAAACAAATGGGACTACATCAAAATAAAAAGCTTCTGAACAGCAAAAGAAATCATCAACAAAATGAAAAGGGAGCCCACTATATGGGAGAACATATTTGGCAATGATACATCTGATAAAGGGTTAATCTCCAAAATATATGGGGAAGTCATACAACTTAACAAAAGAAAGACAAACAATCTAATTAAAAATTGGCAAAGGACCTAAATAGACTGCTGAGGCTAAAGCAAACAGTAGTTAGCATATTAATGCAAAAAGACCGGTTGTAAGGCCAATGAACTTTGATATTCAGCAGGGCTGAAAATCAGCATAATACTGCCCTGCTGTGGGCTCAGTGGCTCAAGGCAATTCCCTAACCTGATACTCCTTATGCTGTTTACCAAACTTTACCTTTGATCTGCCTGTATGCATTGCTAAAGGGTAAATGTGTATTCAAGTAAATAAAAAGCGGACTGGCCAGAAGTCAGGGTGCCTCTTCAAGAGAGAGGTCTCCACCTGGCCCCCCATGCCTTCTAAATTCATATTTCTTGTATAGCATTTTCATTTGTGCATCAGCCCCTCCTTCAGATCCTGAACCCCGCTGTGAAGGTTGTGGCAATAGACACTTCTCCAAAGCAGACATAAAGATGGCCAAGAGACATATCAAAAAATGCTCAAAGTTACTGATCATCAGAGATATGTAAATTAAAATGACAATGAGGTATCACTTCACACCTGTCAGAATGTCTACCAACAGCAAACCAACAAATGACAAGTGCTGGCAAGGATATGGAAAAAAGGGAACCCTAGTACACTGCTGGTGGGAATGCAGACTGGTTCAGGCACTGTGAAAAACAGTATGGAATTTCCTCAAAAAATTAAATATGGAACTGCCATTTACCCAGTGATCCCATTTCTAGGAATATATCCTAAGAAATCTGAAACACCAATCAGAAAGAATGTATGCACCCCTATGTTCATAGCAGCACAATTTACAATAGCTAAGATATGGAAACAGCCTAAGTACCCATCAGTAGATGAATGGATAAAAAAGCTGTGGTACATTTATACCATGGAATACTATGCAGCAGTAAAATAAAATAAAAAAGGATCTCTTACCCTTTGAGACAGCATGGAGGGACTTGGAAAGTATTATGCTAAGTGAAATAAGCCAGTCAAAGAAAGACAAGTATCACATGATTTCATTTATATGTGGAATCTAATTAACAAAATGAACTAATGAATGGAGTAGATCCAGAGACATGGAAGCATGGAACAGAGTGCAGAATCTCAGAGGGAAGGTAGGGAAGGGTGGGTGGATGGGAAAAGATCAACCCAAGAACTTGTATGCATATAGGCATAACCCATGGACACAGACAATAGGGTGTGAAAGGCCTGTGGCAGGGGGACAGGAGGCTAGAAGGGGTCTATTGGGGAACAAAGGGGACATATGTAATACTTTTAACAATAAAGATTTAAATTTTTTTAAAGACCCAAATGCAACAGTGTGGCCCATATAACTAACACAAGGGACATTCCAAGAGCACCCAGATCAGAAGATCAAGGAGCCTACTACACTGTGTCCAACAAGAAGGCCATTCAACCAAGACAGGGTGGTACAGCAGTCTTATCCAATACAAAAAAAACACACACACAATAAGTAGGGAAACAAAGTCACTGGCCACAAATGAAAGAAGAGGAGGAATCTCCAGAAAAAGGGCTAAATGAAATGGAGGCAAGCAATTTATCAGATATAGAGTTCAAAGTAATGGTTATAAGGATGTTCAAACAACTTACTGAGAACTACAAGGAACTTAATGAGAACTACAGGAACTTAGTGGGAACAACATCAGCATGAAAAACGACATAGAAACTATGAATAGGAAAGAGTCAGAAATGAAGAATGACATAGCTAAAATAATGAATAGCCTGGAAGGAATTAACAGTAGGTTAGAAGAACCTGAGGATCAAATTAGTGAATTAGAAATCAAGGTAGAAAAAAAATCACTCAATTAGAGCAGCAAAAAGAAAAAAATATTTAAAAAGCAAGAGGACAGTTTAAGGGAACCAAGGGACAACACAAAATGCAGCAAAATCCCCATCATAGGGGTACCAGGGAAAGAAGAAAGTGAGCAAGGGCTAGAGAACCTGTTTGATAAAATACTGATAGAAAATTTCCCTAACCTGGAAGAGGAAAAAGTCCCATAAGGTCAGGAAGCACAATGAGACCAATAAAAATGAACACAAAGAGACCCACAGCAAGACACATCATAATTAAAATAGCAAACTTTAAAGACAATGGATTTTATGGGCAACGAGAGAGAGAGGCAGTTACCTACTAGATAGCTCCCATAAGGCTATATCTGATTTCTCAACTGAAACACTACAAGCTAGAAGGGAATGGCATGAAGTATTTAAAGTAATGAAGAGCAAGAATCTAAAACCAAGAGTACTCTATCCAGCAAGGCTATCATTCACCATTGAAGGTGAAACAAAGAGCTTCCCAGACCAAAAAAAAAAAAAGTCTAAAGGAGTACATTACCACCAAACCAGCATTGCAAGAAATGCTAAAGGGACTATTGTAAAAAGAAGAAATAGAGAGAGTGAGAAGAACATGGGCATACAGGATAAAAATGTCAATAAATAAGTACCTATCAATAATAACCTTAAATGTAAATGGATTAAATGTTCCAACCAAAAGACACAGGATAGCTGAATGGATAAGACAGCATGACCCAACTACATGCTTTCTACAAGAAACTCACCTCAGAACAAAAGACACACACCAATAATGAACTATCAGGAAGAGGAACTAAGAAAACAAGCCCATCTACTATTGTAACAACCAAACAAGCCCATCTACTATTGTAACAACCACAAAAAAATAGGGTACTCAGGAGATAAAAGACCTGTACTCAGAAAACTATAGAACATTGAAGAAAGAAATTAAGCAAGATACAAATAAGTGGATGCACATACCATGTTCATGGATTGGAAGAATTAACATAATTAAAATGTCCATACTACCCAAAGCAATATATAAGTCCAACTCAATTCCTATTAAAATATCGATGGCATATTTCAAGATAAAAAAATATTCCAAAATTTATATGGAACCAAAAGACACTGAATAGCTGAAGTCATCTTGAGAAAGAAGAAGAAAGTTGGAGGTATCACAATACCAAATTGCAAACTATGCTACAAGGCCATTGTAATCAAAACAGCCTGATACTGGCATAGGAACAGGCATATAGATCAATGGAACAGGACAGACCCCAGAAATACACCCATGCTTTAATGGTCACATTTAGTATTTGACAAAGGAGGCAAGGACATACAATGGACTAATGACAGTCTCTTCAATAAATGGTGTTGGGAAAATTGGACAGGTCCACACAAAAGAAAAGGGAAAGGGAAAGGGAAGGAAAGGAAAGGAGAAAAAAGAAAAGAAAAGAAAAGAAAAGAAAAGAAAAGAAAAGAAAAGAAAAGAAAAGAAAAGAAGAGGAAAGGAAAGAAAAGAAAAGAAAAGAAAAGAAAAGAAAAGAAAAGAAAAGAAAAGAAAAGGAAGGAAAAGGAAAAGAAAGAAAAAAAGAAACAAACTAGACCACTAACTTACACCATACACCAGAATAAACTCCAAATGGATAAAAGATTTCAATGTAAGTCATGAACCATAAGATCCTAGTAGAAAACATAGGCAGTAAAATCTCAGACATCTCTCGCAGCAATATATTTGCTGATATGTCTCTGAGAACAAGGAAAACTCAGGAAAAAGTAAACAAATGGGACTACAAAAAAACTAAAAAGCTTCCCCACAGTAAAAGAAACCATCAACAAAATGAAAAGAGAACCCCCTCTATGGGAGAACATATTTGCCAATGATATATCTGATAAGGCGTTAATCTCCAAAATATATAAAGAACTTATACAAATCAACACGGGAAGACAAACAATCCAATTTTAAAAATGAGCAAAGGATCTGAATAGAAACTTCTCTAAGGAGGACATACAGATGGCAAAGAGACATATGAAAAAAAATGCTCAACATCACTAATCATCAGAGAGATGCAAATAAAAACTTCAATGTATCACCTCATACCTTTTAGAATGTCAACTATCAATACATCAACAAACAACAAGTGCTGGTGAGGATGTGGAGAAAAGGGAACCATAGGACACTATAGATGGGGGTATGGACTGGTGAAGCCACTATGGAAAACAGTATGGAGTCGCCTCAAAAAATTTAAAATGGAACTGCCATTTGACCCAGTGGTCCCACCTCTGGGAATATCCTAAGAATCCTGAAACACCCATCAGAAAGAATGTATGCACCTATGTTCATGGCAGCATTATTTACAATAGCCAAGATCTGGAAATAGCCCAAGTTCCCATCAGCAGATGAGGGGATAAAAAAGCTGTAAAAAAGAAGCATGGCTCAACCTGGAGAGTATTATGCTAAGTGAAATAATCCAATCACAGAAAGTCAAATACCATATGATCTCACTTATATGTGAAATCTAATGAACAAAATAAACTGACGAACAAAATAGAACCAGAAGCATGGATACATTCAACTGACAAATGTCAGAGGGGAGGGGTTGGGGTGAACTGGATAAAGAAGGTGAAGGGATGAGCTAAAGAACATACCACATATGTATAGCCATGGACACAGACACTAGGGTGGTGAAGGCCAAGGGAAGGGGACACGGCGAGCTGGGTGGAGGTGGGCAACGGGGGAGCAAGGAGTGGGGGACATCTGCAATAGTGTCAACAATAAAAAATCCAAATTTAAAAAAGGAGGCTGAATGTCCAAATGATTCTGCTCTATGTATGATGGATCTCTTCTAGCTGTGTTTCATCTATATCAATGCTATGAAATGTTTATTATTCATTCATCCAGCAAATGCAATCTTCAAACTCATAGTGGTAGAATCGGACTCTGCTCGAGGTTCCAGGGATGCAGCAGTGAGATACAGTGAGAGCCAGAGCGGCAAAGCTGTTTATGATTCAGGTGGGGGTTACAGATAAGAAGGGCACAGCTGTAACAAGAGTGCTGGAGCAGGGAAGAATAATTTAATGACCCAAATTTGTATCCTTCCAACATGCAAGGCTTCTGAAGTCACAATAGTCTCATACCTTCCAAATGACAGTCTTCTTCCCCACGTTGGCCTCCTGCGTCAAGGCCTCCTCCATCTCTTTCCTCACAAGTTCCAGGGCCATCTGGAGCTTTACCTGTTGGGGAAGATATGCTGAGACCATTAAGATGCCCTCATTCAGCATCTATCCCGCCTAGGTGTGTCAGGCACTACAAAGATCGCCTAAACAGGCCTTGTGAGCATAGCAATATGTCCAACCTCATTATAACCACATGAAATACAAATACACTTTGTTAATGTGAGACATAATCAAAGGTTTATCTAAAAGTATGTTCATGGCATTATTTAAAATAGCAAAACCACAACTAATCAAAATATTAAAAGTAGGAGGTAAGAAAAATGTATACCATATATGTATAGCCATGGACACAGACACTAGTGTGGTGTAAAAATGTATTTTACATTAACAATTAAAATAAGGTGCTTAATAACAAGAATAAGGGGCTAAATAACAAAAAATGCTCAAAATTATAAAGTTAATTAAAATAAGTATATTTTATTTAATGTGATACCAATTTTGTAAAATGTGCTTTAAAGAATATATAAAAACTAGGCAGAGATCAGTAAAAACATTCAATGGATTAAAAACCTTACCTATTAGTGCCTGGTGAGAAATAATGTTATTCCTAAATCTGTACATGTCAACTTCCAAAAATTATTTACTACCTTGTAATCAGAAAAGTGTTTATTATTATTAGACAACAAGAAACCATGTAAGTTGGTATTTACTCAATGAAAAAGAAATAGAGAATGTTGTAAATCTCACAAGGAGTGGAAAAAATTTAATGAAAACTAAATCTCCTTTCAACCCTAGCCCCTGCTAGAGGTAAACACATATTTTATTTGCAGAGAACACACACAAAGATACACCTACACACAAATTTTAAAACTCTACCCAAAGTCAGCCAATAAGCCTCATAAAATAAAAACTCTTTTCAAAGTCATTAATAACAAGTTATTTCTAAAAAATAATGATAATAAAGTAATGCTCATAAAATGCAGTGGGATTGATGAAGGATTTAACACGACCGAAATGGCATTCGAATTAGCATTTGAAAGGAATAGAAACATGTAAATGGAGAAAAGCTCCCTCCTGTGGAAGAAATTGTGAGCAAAAGCAAGGAGGTGCCTAAGGCCTGGTGTGCTTGGGGACAACCGTGATCGGCTAGTGTCGCTGCATCTTGGCTGGTGAAGACGACAGCTGTAGAAAGAGAACATGGAGCCCTAACAAGTTGAGACTGATAGGCTAAGATGCTCAGAAGATATTTATTTGGTATTTAATTGAAAGACTATTAAAATAGAGAAAACTTCTCTAGAAATATTACACTAGCCATGCTCTGTATGGTGCTTTCTGGATGTAAAGAAGGCAGAAACATTCTGCAGAAGTCTAGTTGGAAAATAGCTGGCATCTGAGTTTTGTAGGTGGCAACCAAAACCAAAAAGAAAACTCAGCCCTAGCCGGTTTGGCTCAGTGGATAGAGCATCGGCCTGCAGAGTCAAGGGTCCCAGGTTCGATTCTGGTCAAGGGCATGTACCTTGGTTGCGGGCACATCCCCGGTGGGGGTGTGCGGGAGGCAGCTGGTCGATGTTTCTCTCTCATTGATGTTTCTAGCTCTCTATCCCTCTCCCTTCCTCTCTGTAAAAGGTCAATAAAATATATTTAAAAAAAAAAAAAGAAAGAAAACCCAGAGATATTTCTAGGTAAGTCCAGAGGGAAGTTGAGGGAATCAACACCCCAAATCTTGATTTAAACAATAAAATCAAGTTTTAAAAATAAAAGAAAATTTGTACTTTAATTCATTTCGTGATGGTATTTCAGATAACATGTCAATATCTTCTTTTGCTAGTAGCTGTTCCAGATGTCAGGAATTTCATTGTGTTCAGAATATGTCCGGGAACTTTTGAAGAGCACCAGGAAGGAGAATTCTATGTATAGAGTTTCACAGATGACCCTTTCGGGGGGCAAGGATTCATATGGGAGGCACCTCTTCATTAAGGCGCTCACACCCTTAGTCCCCGAATAGGAGTTGAATAAAGACCCGCTTGTGCCCTTAGCTCCTGGATTCCTATTTCAGAGCCCTGTGCCCACTCAGGCGCTACTGAACTAATACTCGAACCCCGGGATTGTGTTGGTAACAGTGTTAATAGGCGGGGGTACACATTATGTAAAAGAAGGTGTTGTGCCAATGGTCGCTTTTAGGAAGGTTTTCCATAAAGTGCACACCTGTAACCAAGCAGCAAGTGGACACCAGAGCTCTAACTGTGGGGCCCAGACTGCCAGCATGGGGGACGGAGCAGAGAAGGGAAGTACAGGGCCGGGGAGGGCCCTGTGGGGGAGGGACCCTGCCCGGCGCTGCTCTGTGCTCCTTAGCAAGGGCCGCCGGGGGTACCACGGAGCAAAGGCAGGACCCTTCCCAACCTGAGTGCGCGCTGTGGGAGGGGGACTTCTCCCGGGGGGAATGCCAGGGGCGTGCGGAGGTTGGGGAGAGGGGGCAGTGCGGGCAGGGGCGATGGGGGCGCGGGGCCGAGTGCCCGGGGCACGCAGGGGAGGCGCGCGGGGGCGGACACCAAGTCCTTGGGAGCAGGCGCTGGCGCCAGGCTGG